AAAAAAAAAAAAAAAAAAAAGGATTAAATATTATGGATAATCTATTACTTATAATTTTTATGTCAAAAACAGGAATATATATATATATATATATTTGCACATATATATATATATATGCAAATGCTTCTTTATAAATATATAAATACTAAAAAAAAAAGAAATAGTTAGAATGACATAAAAATAAGTTTTCAAATATTTTACTATGAAATATATAAAAAATGTTTTAATGGAGTAATTGTAAAATACTTGATAAAAAATACATGTATATATATATATATATTAGAATATATTTAATTTACAAAGTAATAAAAATAAGAACATTTCTAAATTATTTCATTTCTACTTTTTTTCATCAAAACTTAATTCATGTGTCGTTTCTACAGAACAAGAACTCATTCTGTTATTTTTATTTTCTGAAAATGAATTAATATTATTATTTTTGTCCATTAATGGAATAGGAATTCCATTATAATATCCTAGAAACATATATAAAACTGATATAATAATTATTATTAAGCCAATCAATATATTAAGGAATGAATTATTAATTATAATCGATCCTATTATGAGAATAAAAAGACATCTACCAACTACTGTAAATAAAAATTCGATAAATCTATAAAAACGAAAAGTTTTTATATCACATAAAATTAACAAAATCCCTGAACATATTATGTATATATTTATGACTATCTGAAATAAATTAAAAATATTTAATATTCCCGCTGTAATCATCAAAATTCCTGAACAAAAAATATAATTTTTCAAAAAATATAGCAAAATTTTACATGTTTTGTACAGAAAAAAAAAAAAAAAAAAAAAAAAAAAAAATGATATAAAATATTAAGCATAAAAAGTTGTATAAACAAATTACATTTTAATAAAATAGACTTTAATGTAACACTAATCGATAAGAATAAAAAGATCAATGAATATAAAAAACTTGAAAAAAAAAAGTACCTGCAGTAACAGATAAAAATCTTAAACTAATGTTTGGTAAATTGTTAAATGGAATCACCATATTTTCGACAAATAAAAAAAAAAAAAATTAAAAGTAAATATTTTAATTTAAAAATAAAAAGTGTATTTTCTTTTGAATTATTATCTCCAAAAATTTTTATTTATTTTTTTTATTATTAAAAAAGTTTAAATTGTTTATAAAAATATTCTGAATCTCAAAGTGTACTTAAATCTTAAAGTAATAATTTTTATAAAAATTTGTACAATAAAATTTTCATTTTTTTATAAATGATTTTATATATATTTATATATATATATATATATATTAAATAATTTTTTTATTCAACAATTTTTTTTTTGAAGTTCAATAGAAAGCTAAATTTTTAAATTTTATATAAATTTTTTATTTTTTCTATAACTTCATTTAAAATTTGCATGTTAAATATTTTTATTTGAAAAAAAAAAAAAAAAAAATTAAATAAATATATAATTAAAAAAATGTTAATTCAGACTTTTTTAAATATTAATAATTTTTAAAGTATTTATAATAAAATATATTAATTTTCTTTTTCTGTGAACTTTTTAAATACCTTAAATTTTTTTTGTCATACATTTGTCTTTTTTTCAAAAAAAAAATTGAAGTTTAAAAATTATAATTTTTTTCTTTTTTTGGTTTAAGATATTTTCTAAAAAATTGTTTTTCGCATATAGTAATTATAAATTATATATTTTTATTTAGATTTTTCTTTTTTAAAATGTAAAATAATAATACTTGTAAACTACTTTTTTAAATATACAAGGATATTTCATTATTTTTTGCACAAAATTGCTTTATTAATTTATAAAAAATAAATGCATGTTGTGTAACAAAAATAAATAAAAAATAGAATCACAAGATTTATGCAGATGATACTTAACCTACTATAGAAAACAATCCTATTTTTATACAAAGCTTCTTTTTTTTTTTCTTTTTATTATTGAATATAAGCAAAAATTTGTTGTTACATACTTTTTCTTTATATTTTTAAATTAAAAAGAGTTATTTTTAATTTTTAAAAAATTAAAAGGAAAACTATTAAAGATATTTGGTAAAAAAAAAAAAAAAAAAAAAAAAAAAAGTGCACATAAGTATTATTAATACATGCATTAAATAATTTTAAAAAAATATATATTTTATAGATATTTCACAAATATATATAAATGTACATAGTTACACATTAAAGGTATAAAAATTATTATTCTTTAAAACAGTTTATTTTTTTATAAAAATGAGTAAAATACATAAATATATGTAAAAATATAATAATTTACTTTTTTCTTAAACAAATTATTAAATTATGCAAAAAATTTTATCTTTTTATTTCTTTTTCCATTTCTTTTTTTTTGCATGACTTTTTGCTGGTATGTCTCTTTTATTTTCTAAATTATTTTGATTTGAATTCTCATTTTTTTGTTTTCCTTTATTAGATGACATATAATTTTCTTGTAATTCTTCTTTATCACATGGATGTTCTAACGAATTTTCTATTTCTATATCTTCTTGTATTTCAGAATTTTTCTTAATTTTATTTTGCTCATTTTCCAATTCGTAGTCATTTTTACCAAATTCCTTTTCTTCATCATATATACAATTTTTATTTTTATCATCTTCACTCAAAATTTTATCATTTTTAGTTTTGTTTATACTATTATAATTTTCATTTATATCATAAATTACATTTTTAATTATTTTATTTTCATCCTTGTCTGAATTTTCATTTTTTTTATATTCATTTATACTTTCATTTTCAATTATATCTTCATCTTCTTTTTCCATTAGATATTCATTTTCAACTATATCTTCATTTTTTTCTTTTACAATTTCAATTTCAGCTACATCTTCATCTTTTTTGTTTTCAATTGTACTTTCACTTTTAACTTTATCATCTTTTTTCTGAGTTATGTTTTCTTTTTCAACTTCCTCTTTTTTTTCATTTATATTTTTATTTTCATCTAAATCTTCATTTTCCTTTTTCTCATATAAACTCTCACTCTCAAATACATTATCGTTTTCATCTTTTTTATTTTTAATTATGCTTTCATTGTCAGTTGTATTTTCATGTATACCCTCATTATTAACTGTATTTGATTCCATATCTATTAAGTTTTCACTATTATTTTCTTCGTTTTCATATTTTTCTTCATTTAAAATTTTCTTATTCTCTATTTCGTTTACATCTTTCTCATTTTCTATTTTATCTAGATTGCTCACTTTCTGTTCAATGTTATGTTTAAGTTCATTACTTTTATTTAAGGTTTCCTCATTTTCTAATTTATTTACATTAATTTGATTAGTAGTAACACTTTTATCTGAATTTTGATTATCCGCTAAAGATGTAAAGCTAGGTGTACTTCTTAAACTGTTATTACTACTATCTTTGGTAGTTTTTTTTTTTTTTTTATTTTTTTTAATTTTTAATATTTTAATCATTTTCTCTCCGTGTTTTGATTCTAAATATTTTTTTTTTTGTAAAAAACTTTCATCATTAGAATAATAATTTACAAGATATTTAAATGTAAATAAGTTTGGTATAAGATTCTTATTTTCATTAATGACTTTTTCTTCTACGTGTTCAGTTGACTTTTGTAACTTTTCAAAAAACTCTGCATTTGCCAATGTATCTACATTTAAATTTTCATTCTTTTTAATCATTAAATTTATTTCTGATTTATATACTTTTCTCTTTTCTTTATAAATCATACTAGTTAAATTAATAATAACATCTTCTGAAATATTAGCATCAATTGAAGGTAATTTTGGCTGTAATCCTAGTAATGATTCATTATACATCTTTTTTATTGAATTAATAGATTTCTGAATATCATCATCTTTTTCATAACTTTTTAATTCTTCATAAAAATCTTCTACAGTTAAATTAAATTTATTTAAAACCTCTTTTTCAGCATCTTCAATTTTTTTTTTATACCCATTATTTAATAACACTTCTTCTAATTTACTTAATTCTATACTTGCATTGGGCTGATTTTTCAGCATATCATAAACATTTCTACTAGTTTTTGAAGTGTCATTTAATATTTTATATATTTCTAAGCATAAATGCCTTAATATCAATAAAATATTTTCTTTTACAATTTTTTTTTTTTTTTTTAATCTTTTTTCACTTGTTAAATACCAAATAAAAAAAAAGCCACCTGTTAATACACCTACTTCTAATAATTTATATATGCTTTTATTCATTTTAAATTTATTTTCTTCTAATGTAATTATGTATATAATAAAATTAAATTAAAAAAAAATGTACTTTCTAAAAATAAAAAAATGCTTGAAATGAGTGTATAATTAAAGAAAATTGTTAAAAATCTTTAATTTCAAATGCATAAAATTAAAAAAAATAAAAAGGATTTAAGTTCTATATAATTAAAACATGTTTACTAAATTGTTATACTCTTTTTTAGATGTTTTATTTATAAAATATAACAAAAAGAGTTAACATTATTTTACTGTATATATATATAGTTTTATTAGCAAATCAATATATTCAATAAGTAAAAAATAAATATGAAATGTAATTAAAGCAAAAATTATGGTTAAAATTTTTTTTTTTTTTTTTTTTTTTTTTATTAGAACGTCATTTTTTATCAAAACTATATATACAACACGAAAATATATTATTCTAATTTTTTATGAAAAAATAAAAATTTATTAAANAATATATTCAATAAGTAAAAAATAAATATGAAATGTAATTAAAGCAAAAATTATGGTTAAAATTTTTTTTTTTTTTTTTTTTTTTTTTATTAGAACGTCATTTTTTATCAAAACTATATATACAACACGAAAATATATTATTCTAATTTTTTATGAAAAAATAAAAATTTATTAAAAAATTAAAAATTGAAAAATACATTTTAAATAAAAGTAAAATAAATTAAAAAAAAATAAAAAAAAAAAAAATAAATAAAACAAAAAATAAAAATATTTGTGACAGAAAAAAATTGATACAAAAGTAAATACAAAATATAAAATAAATATAAAGAAATTAAATAAAAAATATTATATTTTTTTTTTTTTTTATTATCATTTTTAAAATTAAAATTTCTTTATTTTTATCATCTTTATTTTTGTATTTTAAATTCAATAATAAATTTAAAAGGATTTAAAAAATTTTGAAATTTCTAATATAACAACTCAAAAGAGAAAAAAACTTTATTGTTATAAAATAAAAAATAAAAACAAAAAAAAAAAAAAAAAATTCGAAAAAACTTAAATAAATTGTAATATTCAAAAAAAATACATAATTATAAACTTAAAATTGTGTAATAATACTATAAAAAAATGATAAAAATATTAATTAAAATGGTAGTATATGAAAAAGGTCTATATGCAATCTTATATTTTTTTAAAAGAATTTTGTGTTCTTTTGCAAAAGCATAGATTTTTAACAATTTTATGATGATTACATGTATATATATGTTTTTTATTTTCCTATATTTATATTAAAATAATTCTTTAAGTATTACTTTTTTTTTTTGAAATAATATTTTCAGACATAAATAATAGCGTCATTCATATATATAATGTTTTATATTCATTTTTTTTTTTTACTCAATTATAATATAATTCTAAACTCATACCATCTTTAATTTCATAATCTTGTAAAGTAATGTGATCTTTATAAATAATGTACCATTTTTGAATTCTTATTTTATCAGCTCTTGTACCTATTTATTATAAAAAAAAAATAAATAATGTATAATTATGTAGATACATTTATATATATATACTTTAAATAAAAACTAACCTGTTTGAGCGGCAACAAGTTTTTTTAAGTCTCCTATGGTATCATCTGGATTACATTTAACTCTTATTTTTTTTCCTAATCGATCATTTAATATTACTTCTATCATTTTATTGTTGTTCTGTTTTAAAAAAAAAAAATTCACTTTTTTTTCTTATTTTATATTTTAATATTCATATTAGTATTTATAAAAAATACCTATACTTTCTATTTTGCACAATTTTATTTTTCTCACTATTTTACAATAAAAGTAGTTTTGACTTTTTTTTTTTTTTTTTTTTTCCTTAATTTATATTTTTATTTCTTAAATCTTCTATTTTTTCTTCAAAAATTCAACTTTTCTTAAAAAAAACAAAAAATTTTGTGTAAATTATAATAAATAATATGAAGTTTTACTATTACATTTATTTATTAAAAAAATAAACTTATTATTTATGTTTTTAAACTATTAATTTTTTTTTTTTTTTTTTTTTCATTTATAATATACTGTTGAAATGGTGAAAAAATCGTAAGGTAAAAAATCACATGATTAATAATTTTTATTGTTTTATTATTTTTATAAAAAAAAAATTCTTTAGATATTAAAGAATTTCTATTATGTTTTTTATTAACCTTTTTTTGAATAATTATTTAAGAATAAATTTTTTTTTTTTTTTTTTTTTTTTTTTTTTTTTCAAGTGCTCTTTTACCTTTTACTACCATAACCTGTAATAGTAAAAATAAAGCACTTTTATTTATATATAAAATGAATGTAAAATCTGTATATAATGTCTACAATTTTACTTAGATAATAATAATATATTTTGTAAATATAGTTCATTTGTTTATTAGTTTTATCAAGAATTCAATTGATAAAATGTATAAAATTATATGAAAATCTAACAATAAGAAAAATTACTCTTTATAATTTAAAAAAAATATGAAAAGTAAACGTCTAATTAAAATTTTTCGTTTTTAAAAATATTAATTTATTATATATTTCAATAAAAATAATTACTATATATATATATATATATATATAAAACATATTTTATTTATATATTATTGTATTTATATCTTTTTTTTTTTTTTTTTTTTTTTTTTTTTTTTATTTTTTTTTTTTTTTTTTTTTTTTTTTTTTATATATTTTTCATTGTTTTTTTTTTATATATAATTTTTTTTTAACATATTATTTTTAAATATGCATATATATAAAAATGAATAAATAATTATTTTTTTATTTATATGATTATTTATTTATTTTTTTATCCTTAATATATAAACTACAACGTTACACATCATATCATATATTTGTGTTTTAAGAATGATCAAAACTATCCAACTTAAATAAGAAATTTAAATTATCTTATGTAAAAATATAAGGTGTTAAACCAAAAAATGATAAATATAAAGATAAAATAGATAATCCATGATATATATGAAATTCTTTTTTATTTTTTTTTAATGCTGCCATTGCTGTATCACTTTTGGGGTTTTCAATTAATTCATTATATAAATTTACTTTCGTTTGTTTTAATTTGTATATTTTATTATAAAAATATAAGCTATTTAATAAACATGATATTGCAACAACTGATGAGCTAATTCTTAATTGTATATTATGTGTAGCAAGTCTAACAGTAGATAATAACAATATACCTGAAAAAAGGGTAGATAAGCTAAAAAAATATTGAAAATCAACACTTCTTCTATTAAAATCTGATTCCATTCCTTTATGTTCTTCTAAAAGTCTTTTAGCATCTTCTGCGTTTTCAGGTAATGGAAGACTTTTTATATCTTTTAATCCTCTTAGTACACCAACTTCTGAAAAAAAACACAACCAAAATGTTGATCCGAATAAATAACCCCAACTTACATTTAATAAAGGTCTAAGTATTTCAGGATTTTTAATAATTAAATTTGGGAAGAGTGAAATTATTAAACTTGATAAGCCTATGAAAAAAAAAAAAAAAATTATACATCAATAACATTTTTATCTTTTTTATTTTTTTTTTTTTTTGATATTATCCATACATTTTAATTATTCAAATTTTAACTGTAAATTTTTTTTTTTTCTTTTTTTTTTAAAACAAAATTTTAATGAAATTATCACAATGTAAAAAATATTATTAAATTATATACTTAAAAAAAAAAAGTAAATTCATTATAGCTTCACTATTTTTCAACTTGAATATATATATGTATTAAATTATATAGCATACAAAGTATATTGTAATAAATTATTTTTTAATATTTTATTATTATGAATTCTTTTTTTTTCATATTTTTTTTTTTAATTGAAACCTGTAAAGTTAGTCACACATCTTAAATTACTAAATGTACATCCCATCTTTTTTTTTTATTTTTTTAATTAATACTTAAAACGTTGTTTAATTTTTTACTATTAATAATATATTAAAAATTTAAATTATATGTTTTAAACCAAAAAAAAAAAGTTAACTTCAAACAGTTAACGGTTTAAAATAATGAAAAAAAGGAGAAAAAGAAAAAATTTTAAAATAGTTTTTTTATATCATATTATTATTTTATTTATTTTTTTTTTTTTTAAATAAAAGAAGAAAATAATATTTATATATTTAATATTCACAATTCATTTTAAATTTTTCGATTTTTTTTTTTTTTTTTTTTTCTTTTGCACCTGCATTATTATTATGTATAATTTTTTTTTCTTTTTTTTAATTCATAAAATAATACATTTAATTTTATTTAATTTTAATTTATAATTAATTATGTCATAATAAAGTTTAATTATATTTAAATACATTTTCATAAAGATATACACTTTGTATTTTTTTCATATTTTCTTTTTTTTTTTTTTTTTTTTTTTTTTTTTTACTACGTTGAAACATATCCTGTGTTAAAAATTTATTTTTGCTTTTATTCTTCAAGTAATTCATTTAATATATATATTTAAATGTTTACACATTTTTTTCTTTTTTTATTTTATTTTAAATACATAATTTATATTAAATATAATAAATATTGTCATAATAATAGTATAAATACATATAAAAAAAAATATATTGTTATAAATATTTTATATAGGATACAACCGAAATTAAGCATTATATATATATATATATATATATATATATATATATATATATATATATATATATATATATTTATATATATAAAAAGATATCTTTATATTTAATTATGTAAATGTAAAACATATATAAATATATTATTTAAAAAAAGGAATCAAAATTATAATTCAATAGAAATTAATTAAAAAAAAATAATTAAAATAGTTGTAATGTCTGAATTATGAAATATAAAAAGATTCACAAGAATAACTATAAAATTCTGAAACATAATTTTTGAAAGATTTTTTTATATATAAAATTAAAAATAAAAAAAATATATTTATATAACATTAATTAATACAACAACAACTAAAAAAAAAAAAAAAAAAAAAAAAGGAAACTTTTTCATCTTTTCATAAATTGAAATGTTTATATATTTCTTCACATGATTTTAAATCCCAATCATATAATTTATCACTTCCCAAAAATATTACATTGGGCCAATCCTCATTATCTTTCATATAAAATAAATTCTACAAAAAATGAAAATAAAATAAATTAATAAGAAAAAAAAAAAAAAAATCTTAAAGTAGGAATAAAGTATAAATATAAGAATGGAAATATTCAAAAATAACTATCACTCGTATATAAAATACAAATATTTATATATGTTTATAAAATTTAAACAATTTAAATAACAGTGAAAATTAATGAATTATAAATTTTTTTTTAAAATTTTCCTTAATATTTTATTTTTTTTTTTTAAATTTATACCTTTTTAATATTTTTTGTAAAAACACAAAATGGTTCGTTTTCGCTAACTTTACTAAAATCATAAGCTTTAATAATACCATCTTCTGAACCAGCTAAAGTTAAATCTTTGTAATATGTACTTAAAAGTGAAACACACGATTTATCAAATGCTTTGAATTTTAATATACTATTTTCAATCATATTAGAAGATTTAATATTTCTAATGTCTATTTTGTTAATATAGCCATTAACATCTGATAAAAATATAACATGTTCCTCGTATTTACTCCATATAGTAGATTCAGGTGTACTTGTTAAATTAATATTTAAACCAAATGTATTTTTTCTTATATCATAAATTTTTAATGTTTTATCAGAGGATGTTGAAAATAAAATATTTTTTTCTTTTGTATGAAAAGCAACATTATTAATTTTTTTTTTGTGAAAAGTAAAAGTGTGTAAAGGAGAAAGATTACTTAAATCCCATAATTTTACTGTGGAATCTTTTGATCCACTACATAATAAATTATTTATTAAAGTGGAAGAGTTTAAGCAGGTTACACAATCAGTATGACCACGTAAATTATTTTCATAATTTTTTTTTTTTTCTTTTTTTTCTTTCTTCTGCATTTTTTTCTTTTTTTCTTCCTTTTTTATATCTTCATGACTATTTCCTAAATAACTTAATGGTTCTAAAGTATCAATATTATTTATATCCCATAATCCTATATCTGAATTTAATGTACCTATAGCTACGATGTTCTTATTTTGATAATAGCAGTTATTTATTATTTCTAAACATAACGGATAATTATCAATTATAACATCATCATAAATATTAAATATATCATCATTATAATTGAAAAGATGAATTTCTAATGTTCCTACATCTTTATATATCTTCCCATTTAAAATTAAAGCGTCATTTTTACTTATATTTAATTCATCTTCATATATATATTTTTTATCATTAGATATAATTGAATCTTCAAAAATTATTTTTTTACTTTTCTTTTCATCATTAAATATATTATCTAATGTATCATATTTATCAAAGCTTACATTTTCACATTTTTTCTTCTTTTTTTTTTTTATATCATTTTTGCAGGAAGATGAATCTGATTCTTCAGATACATTACTATATATATTAGAAAATAAAAATAAAAAAAAAAAATTAATTATATAAATAAAATAAATAAATGATAATATATATATATATATATATATATACTATATTTTTACTATAAGAAAAATATATATATTTATATACATATGTACATATAATTCTTATAAATACCTTAAAATATCCTCTTTATTTTTATTTAATATTTTTTTGTCTTTAGATAAACATGCTATACAACTCACTATATCATTTATCTTAACTTCTTTTATTTTCACTTTCTTTTTTTCTTTTATATCAACATTACTTATATTTTTTTTTTTCCTTATATTTAACTTTTTATTAATCATTTCAAAATAAAAAATAAATAAATGAATGAATAAGTGTAAGCATATGTAATTATTTCGTGAAGTGTTTTTAATATATATCAAAAAGATAACTGCTTTTTATTTTTTTTTCGTTATATATAAATGACAAAATTACAAAGAATTAAATGCCAACTTTAAATTTTTCATATTTTTAAATTTAGAGAAATTTTTTATCAAATATTTGATGTTGAAAATAGCCAATTTTATAAAAATTTTTTTTTTTTTTATTATTAAGATAAAATTATAAATTATTATTTTTATTTACTAAAATTTTTTTTTTTTTTTTTTGCATTTTATGTCGTTTATGAAATACAAAATGAATAGTTCTTATGACTTTTTTTATGTTTTTTTCCCCTATAAAGTTTTCTTAGCAAATTATAATTTACGTAAAGAATAAAAGTGATTTTTGTTGTTTTTTTAAAGTATTATATTAAAAAATTACATGGAATTTTTATTTGCAAAAAATAATTTGTTTTATAGTTTTACAAAAGAAACATCAATAATTACATATTTAATCTTTTTTATTCTATAACTTCCTTTAAAATTTCTTTTCTTCTTATATTCATAAAAAAAAAAAAAAAAAACTACATAATAAATACATGTAATATTTACTATTAACAATCCTTATTTCTGATGAATATTCTTCTTCAAAACTACATATTTTACATTTTTAAAAAATATTTTTTATAATATTATTTTAATGAAATAATTTGAAAATTAAAGAAAAATAATAAAGAACAATTTTTAATATTATATCTTTTAACTTTTTTTTTTTTTTTTTTTTTTTTTGATATAAAGAAATATATATTGATTTTTTTTCATTTGAATTCGTTAATGTTTGTAATTATGTAAATGATATATATATATATTGTGATGTATAAAAAATAAATGTTTTCTTAATTCTGTAAATTTTGTTTTTCTTTTATATTATTACAATATCTGAAAAATTAAAATACTATTTAATACATAAATTTATGTTTTCTATGGTAGTGTTTTATAAGATCATATTTATGACAAATTTAATTAGTATATATTTATCATTTTATTAAATACAATATACTTTTAGAGTAAATTTTTTATTTTTTTTATAATTCTTCCTTTTCATTTGTATCTTTTTTTTTTTTTTTTTTTTGTTTAATGAATGTATATGAACTTATTTGTACATAGGATTTCTTTTTTTTTTTTTTTTTATTTTTTAAATTTTATTTTTAATCACTGCACATAATATTTTTTATATGTGTAATCAATATATTTTTTTTTTTTTTTTTTTTTTCATTTAATGAAATTTGTTAAAATATATGAAAAAATTAAAAAAAAGTGAAAAATTGTTTATCTTATTAAAGCATAAAAAATTATAAATCATATATATATATTACATAATTATAAATAATATTTTAAGAAAATTTATAAGTGAAAATGTATTTATAAATATATAACCTTCCTATTATTTAAGCATTACTGTTTTATTTAATAGTTTTTTTTTTTTTTTTTGTTCTTTTCGTTATATATAAAATAAAAAGTAAAAACAAAAAATATTCCATATTCTATATCTATAGATAAAAATAAAGAATAAAATAAAAAAAAATAAAATAAAAATAAAATAAAAATATATATATATATATATATATATGGAATTATTTTATTATTTAAAGAGAAAAAAGAACAAAATTACATTTACAGAAAAAAAAAAAAAATCATGAATTTTTTTAGAAATGACAAAAATAAATAAATAAAATTGCAAATATACGAAAAAAAAAAAAAAAAAAAAAAAAAAAAAAAAAAAAAAAAAAAAAAAAAAAAAAAGGGAACTAAATATATAAATATTATATGAACAAAATAAGAGAACTGAAAACAAAGAAAATATATTATTAAAGGAGAATAATATATATTACACCTAATAATAAAAAATTAATTCAAGTACATATAAACATTGAAAAGTATTATTAAAAAATTACAGATATTTTATTTGTAAAAAAATATATAAAAAAGTATATTTTTTTCGAAATGGATGGGTTTGATGAATCTAAAATGAAACAACTTCAATTATTAAAAGAAAAAATGAAAACAGCCAAAGCTCAAAAATCAGATGAAGTTAAAAAAAATGAAGAAATTTTTTCTCATGATGTAAAAAATGTTAGATCTTTTGAAAGTAAAGATGTAAGATTTAATAAAACAGGCAAAAAATTTTTTGATAGTTTTTTTGCAAATAAAAAAGGACCACATATTAAAAACAGATATCAATTTCAACAATCCAAAAGTATGAATTTTCCATTTAAACAAAAAGGTGGAACACTTAAATTAACAAACGAAGTAGATTTATTTGATACTCCTTTATCTTTTGAAGAAGTAATGAGAAGAAAAAATGAAAAGAAAAAATTAGAATTAGAAAAAAATAATCAGAATAATACTAATGATACAATAAATGTGAAACAACTAAGCCTAAATGAAGTTAAAAATGATAAAAATATTTCAGATTCAGTTCAAAGAAGTAAAAGTGATAATAATGTTGAAAAGAATCAGAATAATAGTGAAGTTATTAAAAATAATATAACAATTAGTAATGAAGTTGTTGAAAATAATCATTTGTTAAATGATGAGATTGTTGAAAATTCTGAATCATTAAGTATTGATGTTATAAAAAATTCACAATCATTAAATATTGAAATCTTAAGAAATTCTCAATCTCTAAATATTGATACTTTTAAAAATTATTTCACACATAACTTAAATCAAAATGAAAATTTATTGAAAGAAAAAACTCTTAGCAGTACCTTTCCGTTTTCTCGGAACACTTCAAATGAAAACTGTATAAATAATTTTATAGATAAAAATGATATTAATAATACTTTAAATACTTATGTTAGTAAAGAAGTGAAAAATAATATCACTATTTTTTCAGATAATATAAAAAAACTAAACGTTCAAAATGATGAAACCGTAATTAAAAATGTGATAAGTAATAATATAAGTAATAATCAATCTATAATAACTGAGGAAAAAAAACAAAACATTCCAATTTCAGATGGTTTTATTTTAAGTGACATCACTAAAATAAATAAATTTAATTTTAATGAAACAAATAAAACAAATAATTTAAATAATAACTTAAATGTTAATTTGATGAAATCATCTAATTCTCTTTTAAATTCCAATAATTCAATAAATGATAATGATAAAGCTATTAACCAAATAAGCAATAAGTTTAATAATATAAATAATTCAAACATTTTAAATAATACAAATAACTTTAATAGTACAAATAATACAAATTTAAATAATTTAATTAATAAAAACGAAATAAATAATAATTTAAAAAGTTCAAGTGATATTTTAATTAATTCAAAAGATGAAAGTAATAATATGAACAGCAGTACAATATTTATGAATACAAACAACAAAAGTAATATATTTAATAATACAAATAATAATACAAATAATAATACAAATAATAATACAAATAATAATACAAATAATAATAATAATATTAATAATAATAATATTAATAATAATAATATTAATAATAATAATATTAATAATAATAATAATAATAATAACAACGTTTTTAATAACACAAATGATAGTAACAACGTTTTTAATAACACAAATGATAGTAACAACGTTTTTAATAACACAAATGATAGTAACAAACTTTTTAATGAAACAGGTAATAGTAGCAACATTTTTAATTATGTAAATAATTCTAATAATATTTTTAATAATACAAATAATAATAGAAAATTTTTTAATAGTATGAATAATAACAATAAAAATTTTAATAATTTTGGTAATAATTTAAACAATAGAAATGGTATTTTTAATAATACAAACAAAAAAATGTCAAATTTTAGTGAAAATATAATAAACACTAATAATGAATTAATAAATGATAGTTATACAAACAAAATAAATGTGATAAATAATGAAAGCAATGATTCCAATATTAAAAATATCAATTTATTGAAAGTATCTAATAATTGTGAAAACAGTTTTTTTAATAAAAATTTCTTTAACAAAAATATAAATAGTTCTTTGAAATATAATGAAATAAGAAAAGAAAATTCTAATGATTTTAATAATGATTTAAATTCAAGAGTTCTGAAATTTAAAAACGCATTGTCAAATATAAAAAATTTGAGAAATGATTTTTTAAAAAAAAATAAACAAGAAAATATAACTCCTAAACCTACTATTGAAAAAACAAATTTAGATAATATCAGTAACGCTAATACAGTGATCAAAAATGATAGCAACAATGAATTTGTTAATAATAGTATAAATAATTCTAAATTTTCTGAAAATGTTTCAGATAATCATATTAATCACAATAATCCTATTAAAGATACTACCAATATTAATAAAAATGATTTAAAGATTAATTTATCAAATAGTACTATAAACAATTTACAAAATAATATATATGAAAATAATGATTTAAACAAAAAAAATGAAAATATCGATTCTAATTATATTCCTAATAAAACAGCAAATTACTTAAATAATTTAAACACACCAATTTTTTCAGATCAAAATAAAAACCTTTTAAAAAATGAAGATACAAAATTATGTTCTTTAAATAACAATCAAAATTTAACAGACTTTAATTTAAAAGAAATTTTAAATATAAATAAGAAAAATAATTTATTAAATGATATTGAAACAAGTAATACCCATCAACTAACAAAATGTAGCAACACAAATAGAGATATATGTCTTAATATGAATAAAAAAATAAATGATTCTTTTAATAGTAATATAAATAATATTAATGAAAACATCGATAATAACAATAATACTGGAAATATTAATAAAAATTTCAATAGCAGTAGTAATGATAATAAAAGTATTAATAATAGTGTAATTAATAATTCAAACGATAATATAAATGGTATTAATAAAAATATAGATAAAAATATTAGTGATAACATAAATAATATTGACAAAAATATAAATAATAATATTAATATAAATATTATTAGTAAAAACTTAAATAATATTAATGATAATAGAAATAATACTAATAAAAACATTAATATTAATAATGTTGTAAATGATGAAAACGAATTTAAGTCTAATTCTACCATATTTATTAATTTAAATAAGTTAAATAATGAAGATTCTCAAGCACATTTAAATAAAGAAGATAAAATATTAAATAATATCAATGATGGAAATAATAAAATAAATAACATTAATGTAAAAGAAATGATTGATAACAATTTAGTTAATATAAAAAGTAATCCATCTGATCAATATAAGAATAAAAGTAATTTAAGTTTAGGTTATGAATATACTAATATTAACAAAAATAATGAAAGTAAAATAAACTCTAATGTAACTAATCTCTCATTTAATAAGTCATCCGAAAATATTGAATGTATCCTTATACCAAATGAAGAAAATAAAAATATAAATAAATTAAATGAAGAAAATGAAAATTTAAATAAATTAAATGAAGAAAATAAAAATATAAATAAATTAAATGAAGAAAATAAAAATATAAATAAATTAAATGAAGAAAATAAAAATATAAATAAATTAAATGAAGAAAATAAAAATATAAATAAATTAAATGAAGAAAATAAAAATATAAATAAATTAAATGAAGAAAATAAAAATATAAATAAATTAAATGAAGAAAATAAAAATATAAATANTATTAAATGAAGAAAATAAAAATATAAATATATCAAATGAAGAAAATAAAAATATAAGTCTATTAAATGAAGAAAGCAAAAATATAAGTTTATTAAATGAAGAAAATAAAAATATAAATATATCAAATGAAGAAAATAAAAATATAAGTCTATTAAATGAAGAAAATGAGAATAAAATAGATGAAAATATGAATAGTATTTTTAATGAATTCAAAAAAAAAAAAATAAATAATGACATTTTTGATATTTTTCATGGAAATTCCAGTGATAATTTGTTGAATGTAAGTTCTGAAAATTTTGAAAGAAAAGAAGATTTTGAAAAATTCAATCAAATTTATAAAAATATAAATTGTATAAATAAAAATATAAGCTATATAAATAAATATGTTCCATCAACTATTGAAAATGTAAATAACTATATAGACGAAAATATTAATTGTATTGAAAACTATGATACTTTATCTGTAGCAAATCAAATTTTTTTAGATAAAATAAAAAACTCGAACAATTCAATTGAAACAAATAATGAATTAAAATCATTGATTGAAAATTTGAATAAAAAAATTATGAAAAATATTGATTCCTATAATGAAACAAAAAATAATGAAAATAATAAAATCATTCATAAATTTTGTAATGAAACAAATAGTAATATCAATAATAGTAAAATTGAAATAGATAACGGAATTAGTAGTAATTTATCAAAAAGTGTAAATTTTTTAGAAAGTGGAGGAATAAATATAAATATGTTAAGTTCTGTTGAAAAATTAAAATTAATAAATGAAACATCAAAAGAAGTTTCAAGTAATGAAGATAATGATATTAATGAAAAGATTCCTGATCATGTGCAAAAAATTATGCAAAGAAGAGAATATTTTAAAACAAAAAACAAAGTACAAAAAAGTAAAAACAAAAGAGTTTTATTAAAACAAATTAAACCTTTTGTTTCATCCGAATGTAGTGAATCATTCAGAAATACATTTTATACAAATGAAAATAATAAAAACAATATTTTTTCATTAAAAAATTTAAGCAACATGAATATAATAAATCATATTCCAAGTAAAAATAGTAATAATAATAACACTCAAATTTTAAATCAAGAAGGAGTCATTTATACAAATAATCAACATATAAAAAATAATGAGAATTCTAACAATTTATCTATTTTTCCATCACTTAACAACGGTGATATAAATATTTCAGAGAAAAATAAAATGGAAAATAATGAAACAAATATAGAAAATTATAATAAAAATGATAATGTTGTTTTTAGTAACACAAATATTATGCATGAAAAAGATTTAAATGAAAATAATATAAATGAGTCAGATATTAATAAAGTAAATTTAATTTCTGAAGATATTACATGTAAAAATTTAAATAATTCAAATAATAATAATATGTTAGATGAATCAGAAAGGAGTGAAATTTTATTAAAGATGAAGAATGAAATAGATAATGAATCTGATTTTATTTCTGACATTTATAAATCTATAGATAAAAATAATTTTATTTTCAATAATCAAATAAATGAAAGTTCATGGAACAACAATAGTGAAATATTAAAAAAAAGAAAACACAATTGTAATATTAATACATGTGATAATGAAATTATCTTACCTGTTAATTTAGAAAATGAAAATGAAAATAATATGCAGAAAAAAATAAAATTAGAATTAAGTTCAGAAAATAATAGAGAAGAAAAGAGCTTATTAGAAAACCAAAATGTTCAAATATCATCGGAGGAAAGTAGATATATCCATATGTCCAACTACGTAAATGATATAAAAAATTCTAAAACATTATCAGAAATTTCAGTTACTTTAACTAAATATACATTAGAAAATGAAAAAATTCTTTGTGATATTGTTAATGAAAATTTTAATATGTCAGTAAAAATATCATCTTTGAATGATTTACCATTTTTATTTGAAGAACTTTCTTAATTTTTTTTTTTTTTAGATAAAATTTGCTCTAATAAATAAATATACATATATATATATATATATAATTTTAAATTTATCGGAACTTTAAATTTTTAAAAAATAGCTTATAACAAGACATTAATTCAAAACTTAATATTTTAAGAACTTCAATTATATACACAATCTTGTTTTTTTTTTTTTTTTTTTTTCAAAATGTTTTCAATAATAAATTCAAGTTGTAACTTTTTTAAAATATTTAAAATCATACATGATGAAAGAATGATATCTTTTTATTTGTTTACAATAATTTTTCAAAAGTATTATCACAAAATGAAAACTAAACCAAAAAAAAAAAAAAAAAAAAAAAAATCTTTTAAATAAAATATATTATATATATCAAAATTATTAGAAATATTTTTAAAAATGTTTTAGATTAAATATATAATTAAATAAATTGAAAAAAAAATTTATCAAATTAATTTATTATACAACATATAAACATAGGAAAAAAAATTTTGTAAAAAAATCAATAGATTTAAATATATATACTTATATATATTAATGTCTAATAATATTCTTTATTAAATTTTTTATTAATAATTTTTGCTTTATTAATAATTATCATAATTTGTGTGCCCTTTATATATTATAATAACAGGAAATATAAAAATAATTTTTTCTTTCTTAAAAAAAATAAAATAAATTGTTTATTCTTATTAATAATATAATGATTCATACTATTTATTTTTAAATATATTAACTTTTCCATTTTAAGTATAAAAAGAAAACGTTTTAAATATACCTATATATATACATAAATATAAATGTAAATTTTTTTTTTTTGTGATTATAATAAAAGTGTATTCAAAAATAAATTTAAAATATATATATATATATATATGTATATATATATATTAATATATTAATTTTAAAATTTAAAAATGTGTTATATATTTTACATAACCATTATTATTAATATGAAAAAAATACGTATTAACTCTTTTTTATTTTTATTGATATTCACATTCTGTTGTAATTAAAAAATAATAATAAATTATATTTTTATATACATATAAATTTAATTTTTTTTCTTTTTTTTAGTTTATTTTTTTTTTTTGTTTTTATCCTATTTAAAATATTTACAACACCTTAAAAAACAATAAAGAATAAAAATTATATTAATTAAAACTATAAACAAAAAAAATAATAAACTTTTCTTTATAAGAGATTTACAAAATTTGTAGAAATATTACAAAAATAAAAAAAAAAAAAAAAAATACATTATTGTTATAAATTAACCATATTTTTCTTTACAAATTACAAAGTGTTAATTTTTTATCAAAAAAAAATCGTAAAAATATATTCTTAAAATATGAAAAAATTAATGTTCTAATATATATAAATATATATATATTTTAATATATAGTAATATTTCATTAAAATTACGTAAAAAAAGGATAAATATAGTTAAATAAAGAATGAAATTTAATAAAATTTCATTTTTCTGTATATTCTCTTTTTTCTACTCTTAAAAATCAAAAGGAATAAAAAGCCCATCATGAGCTAATGAAAAAGAAGTATCTGGATATTTTTTTGACAATTTTTGAAGAAATAAATTGGTTATATTGTGTTCAATCGCACATGACATCCCTACAAAATAAACTTTTTTTGGTTTAATTAATAAAGCAATTTTTATACTTTGATGCAAAGAGAAATGAGAATAATGCTTTCTCGTATAAAAGAGTGCATCTATAATTAAAATTTCAATAGGCTCAAAATTTTTTATATAATTTAGTATATATGAAGACAAATTGGAACAATCAGAAATATAAACTAACTTTTTATCTTTTCCTATAATATAACCCACACATATATAATTTTTTCCATGTTCAAATGGAATAAATCTTATAATTTTATCATTATCAAATTTTGAATAAATGAAACCATATTCATCTTTTAAGTCATAAGTGTGTATATTTACAGATGTATTATCATCATCTTTGTTTATTTTTTTTTCATCAATTCTATCTATATCCTTCTCAATTGGTATATTATTTTCTAATTTATCTGATTCTTCTTTTAATTCGCTCAACACATTATCATTACGCATAATTTTGTTATATTTTTCATCTTTTAAAATAAAAATATTAAGAGCAGGAATTTTTGAATAAAATATGTTTTCTGATCTCTTCTGAGCTAAATATGCATAACCACTTAAAAGTCGTTCATAAGTTACTTCATTTAAATATATATCAATAATTTTTTTTGGAGTATAATAATATAAATCATCATACATTGTTTTATTAAAATCTTGTAAATCTCTCAAATCATCTATCCCATTCAATGCATCTGTATGACTATGACTTATTAACACCATATCTAAATTAAAATGCTAAAAAAAAAAAAAAAAAAAAAAAAAGGAAATATTTTTATACTATGAAGTAGAAATTATTATGATTTGTTTATTTTTTTATTAAATCTTTTCAATATTTACTTTATATATAAAAAATTTAATTTTATATTTTTCTTACATAAAAATTTATCTTATCTCTATTTAGTAAAATACTATCTCTAAAAGTTTTCCCTACATCAATAAGAACATAAGAATTATTTGATTTTAATAAAAGAGAAATATTGTTTCTTTTATTTTTAGAGTCATTATTTAATGCATCGAAACAAGTATAACATTCCATATTAGGATAATCGGAATATAATTTTTTTAAATATAAATTATTTAATTCATCAATACAATCTAAACTTTTTGATGCTAACTCATCGACAAATTTATCAATATTTTCATAATCTTCTTTTTTCAATTCTAATTTAGACAAACTATTTTTATTTTTATTCAATATCTTTTTAGAATTTTTGAAAACATGAGATAATTTAGGTGTAGAAGACGATCCTCCCGTTCCTATAAAAAGAAAAAAAAAAAAAATAAAATAAAATTAACCATTTTTTTTTTTTTCATACAATATATATATGGTAGATAAATGTATATAAAATATAAACAATATAAAAAAATAATAAAACTATAATGAAAATATACAAATTTAAATAATAATTTACATATTTTTAAAATACTATAAAAACATACTTTTTTAGTTTCTTAAAAAAATTAATAATTACTAATATTATTTTATTTTATTTTATTTTTTTTTTTTAATACCTAAAAAGATGATACCATTTTCCTTTATCATATTTAATTAGATTCTATTTACTGATGCAATTTATATTATTTAAATTTTTATATTTACTTTTTTTTTTTTTTTTTTTTTTATGTTTTTTAGCTTTTTAAAATTATTCTAAATATACATATGTATATATATGAATTTTTAAAAAAACGTATGTATTAATTTTATTTTTTTATTCTTAATGTTTCTATTTTTAGAGATAAAAAGGAATGTGTGTATAATATATAATACTAACAAAAATGTAATTAAAATTATTTTCCTTTTTACTTTGCAAAAAAATATAAAATAAGAAAATTACAAAAAAAAAAAATTTTTATATCATAAATACTAAGTTAATAATTTGAATTGCCATTTTTCAAAATTTTTAAAATAATTTCCAATTTTATAAACACATTAAGAAAATTTTATAAATAAATTAAAAAATAATATTTATAAGCATCCATAAGATATTCATTTTAAAAAAAAAAAAAAAAAAAAAAAAAAAAAAAAAAAAAAAAAAAAA